TCAGAGTTCCGTTGCTTAGGTAAAAATTAGTCCACTCGCCCTCAAACTAAATTTTATTGCCTACATAGGCTTATAAATTTTGGTCCTTATCTTCCCATGTACTCACCGTTTATCCAGTCATCCAGTTTTTTGAGTACCACACGATGGTATAAAACGTCATTAATAAAGAATGCATTTTAGAATGAAAAAACTGTTTATTAATGATTCGAATCATTTTTATTTTATTTTTATTTCTCAAATATTTTCAATAATAATTAATATTATAATAATTAATTAATTAATGCTTGTAACATAACAAATATTCTTCTCTTATCATTGCAATCTCATTGCTGCGCTTAATTGAATATTTCGATACCAACGCCGCAGCCTGCAGATTTGCTTCCACTTCCACTTAGTTACTGGCACATGCTTCAGCTCAGCAAGTTTAACGCTCGATTCGTACGTACAGTTTATATCTCGCATTTTACTTTGTGCCGTCAAATTCAATTGCAATATGAAAATTTACCTTTAAGTTTTAAAAAATTAATTAAGAGTTTCGTAGCTGCTTTGGATGTTAGTTCATATTGTTTGACGTTTCATGCGTTGGTTTTGTTATGTTGCTTGTCTTCGCAATCGCAATACATTTAAATTTATTAATCAATACACTTTTGTTTCGATTTTTTTCTTGTTATATACATTACACATACGAGTAAGTAGTAAAACTTGGTGAGAAAAACTTGCATTACGTAAAGATAGCCGTTTAGTTTTACTTTTTTTCATTTGGAGCGTAAGTGATTAATTTGTGGTATTACTTTTAAGTTGAACAATTAGAGAGCACAAAAGTTTCAAAGTGTTCTGGCTTGGTGTATACTTAAAGTTTGATTCGAGAAATGTTTGATTGTTTCGCGTGTGCCTATTCGCAGTTAGATTTGTAAAGAGGTTAAAAGTTAAGAGTCATGGGCAGATTACAAGGCTGATCAGTTGCAGCGATTCACAGAAACTGATGCCTGATATTGATAATTTTTCTTGAAGACTGGGTACCAATAAATTAAATTTGCAGCTGGCCAATGTCAGGCTCCCTTTTTACTTTAGTCACACCATCATTAGGTTTTAATTGTTAATATTAAAAACTTGGACCCTATTTAAATTTTTGCAATAATGCCTGACCTATGATAAAATCGCACCAGATATTCACAAGTGTTAGATAGATCAAGAAAGTAAACACTAAATAAAAGCAAGCGTTTAAGAAAAGCGTTTGGAAAAGACAAACGAATTAAAATCACAATTTTTTGTGTTATTATTAAATTTACTGCTGCAAGTTGACTCTGTAAGTTTTTTTTTAATCATCAATCGTTTTCACTAAAAAGTAGGAACTTCTGCCTGTTGTCAACTTATATGCTGTACTGTGTGTTTCAGAAACGCAATTCAAATGCTGTGGAAAAAATTCGGTCTTAGATTTTGCTAACTATAAGTAAAGGTAATGCATTGTTTGTTAAAATTTGTTTTTTTTTTATTTGCGCCCTTTGATTAAGCTGAACACCGCTTGAATTTTCCACCTTAAGATCCTTTTTACTGAGGCTAAGCGCGAAAACATAAAAAACTCAGTTTAAAGAACATTTAACACAAACTGATAAACTGGACAAATTAGTACATGCACTTCGACTTCATTATATTTATCTCCTGTCTCTTACAAAACATCGAACAAATTGCCTATGCTTTCATCTATGTCATCTGTAGTTTGTTTCTTCTTAAATACGATATCTCTTAGACCTTTCCGAACTAACAAATTGTAGCATGCTCTGCACTAAATGTGTTCATAATATTTAAACCGGTCGAGACCAGTTCCCGCCGTTCATTCATTTTTCCTATAACAACCCTGTGCCTGTATGTGTATTTGGACTAAACTGATCAAAAGGGGTCTCAACCAAGCAGGAACTAACGTATATTAGTGGATATTCTCGAGAATAAAAATTGGGAGTCTAAGTAAACTGATCATGTGTCAAAGAATGCTGATATGTTTCTGTTCATGTTGTATATGTTGCGCATGGGGTTCCCTAACTCAAAAATTTTAAACTGTTTCCTATCTCTATTTTGGTTTGATTGTATTTCGTGTTTAGTTTTAACTCTCTGACTGCATTTCATGTTGACTCAATCTCTATTTCTTCTTTAATAATTTCATCGACACATTAATATATAGTTATAGCTACAATTAAATATATAGTACATACACATATATATTTCTTCTAACTGTAAAAGTAGCACATAAGTAAGCCTTCGTGGATAACGCCCCCACTTGGCACACATGGCTCACAACATTAGAACATGTGCTTCTCTTGTATATTGAATTCAAGATTAGTCTTCAATTTATTATATTTCACTTTGAATTTTGGTAAAATCCCTTCTTGGAACAAGTAATGTACAACTTAAAACTGTTGGCTTTCGTAAGATACCAATTCTGGTATTTTGATTACTTCGTCCTGCGCTTCGGCCGAAAAAAGATCACTTTGAGTCCGACAGTTTGACTTGGCCCAATGCAACGTTTGGGATGCTTCTTTGATTCCCATTTTTTCAGGAAGGTTCTAAATTTGGGATTAAATTAATCGTTAGTTGTTTCTCTACTTGGTAAAGTAATACTTTTAAGTGTACTGTTTGTCAATACGCTGCATCTGACTATTCGCCATCGCCTTTTGTTACTTTACTACAACTGTTATCTGATTGTAATGTATATTCGTAATAGTTATTTGTATTTTGTATTCGGTATTAGTTCTATTATTTTGTATGCTGCTCGGTGTCGTGTTCACTATCAACATTTACACGCAGTAGCGCCATTGTATCTAAGTTATCGTTGGGCTAAATATTTGATTACTCTTTCAACCCTGCATACCAAGGGACAGCAAGGACCCCGTCCTCATTTCCGTCCCTAACATTTTCTGATTGATAAGTTGAAGTGGTTGGTGTGAGGGTGTGCAATAGCTTTCGTTTTATATAGTTTGTGGTTACTTCTGTTGTAGAGTTAAGTTCGCTAAATACTTTTATGAAATTTTGATTTGTCAAGAGTTCTCATTTGAAATTCTAGCAGTCGTGGGTTTGATATAGACGTATATCAAATCGCTTTACCTTGTTTGATGCGCTAACAAAACGTGTATATAGTGTATATATAAGTAGTAGACATAGACATAGAGCATATGTTAGTATGATATATAAGTTAAGGTTAAGGTTAGTTAGATAGCTAGTTGCAGTATGTATATGAAACGCTAGAGTTGGCTCAAAAACGTTTGGTAAGCTTTCTGTGTTACATGGAAAATTTAGGTAGGCATTGTCAACTATTTCTTGTGAGGTCATTTCAATACGATCATCTGGGCATGCATCTTTTGACACATTCGACCATATTTCTGTACTGCCTGCTGATTGATTGATTGTTTAATAACTGTAAATATAGTTTTTCAATCAATTTCACATTTTACAATATTTTACTGTTGCTTTTCGTACACGTTTTTCGTTTAAATATATTCATTTATTTTATTTTTACCATTCTTGTGAATTTTGTATTGTGATTTGCTTGTTTTCTTTGTGTTTTGTTTTAATTTTAAATTACGATCACTGCTACTCTTGCTTACAAACTAAATCCATATTATGTAAGTTACATTTAGTTGATTTTTTAACGTTTTGTGTATTTTTTCATTTTAGTGGTTTTTCTCTTTTTGTTTGTTCTTTGCTCCAAGGTATAAATAATTTCACTTTCTAAATATATATAAACTTTCATATAGGTCTGTACTTGTTTGCTTCTGTGTGTGTCACCGTGTTTAAGTGTGTAGCGTGTTTGTGTTGTGTCCGTTGTGGGGTCCTTGTAAAATTATCAAAAAATCATTCAGTTTGTTGCTAAAACACGTATATGTCTTTCGTTACCAGTATGTCTATAATTAAATATAATTACCTTCTGGTTTGATTTCTTTTGTTTAAGATTATACTTTTGTAGCTTAAAATTTGTTTAATTTCCTGTTTCATGGTTTTTTGTAGTTCGATACATACTTAATCATATGTATATTTGACCGTTTGTGTATAATTTGCGCTAGCTTAACAACATTTACATATACAAACACACATGGAATTTACGTGCGCGTTGCTTTAACTGTTATTAAAATTATTATACTCCCGTAATTCTAAACAAACGGACGTGCCAAGAATGTATCTTCGCAATGTCCAAGTTCTTGATTTATTTATGTTTATTAAATTTAATACATTCTTCTTAAATTCCATTTATCGTTACTTCACATCGTCTCGTTTATTTTCAATGCGCTTGGGACTCGAACTACGCGCTTTACGAACTACGTTTATGCGATTGTTTCCATCAAAGTTGCATACTTGTAAAAAATTAGTGTTAAGTTGTATTCATTTAAAATATAATAACAGCATCGTGTACATAATAAAACTTTGCCTTAATTCATTTTTAACGTAATTTCTCTCTTCAGTTTGTTCTTGACTTTCTGTCGTTTTTTAAAACCAAAACACAGTACAGTGCAATAAAAATATCTCTAAGTTGTAATCCTCCTCTCTTTACTTTTTATATGCTTGCTTTACTCTTTCCTACTTTTTAAATATTTTTTTGTTTTGTTTTTATTACACAATGCATTTTACCTAAAAACTAATAATAGTTTTATAGTTAAGCTTACGTTACGATGTTGCTGATTGTTTAGTGGGTTGTTTGTTTGTTTGTGGTTTGTTGTTTTGTTGTCTGCGTGCGCCTTAAGTTGAAATGCTATTTCCGCGTTATTTTCAAGTTGTATTTGTTTTCACTTGATTTATTGTTATATCAATTTAGTAAGATTCCTCGTTTGTTGTCCTGTTCCACATTAATGGTGGTGTATAAAACAGAAACAGTTCCTAGAGTTGGTTGCTCTGATTAAAATAAAGATAGCACATCCGTAGTTTGTTGGCGCTGGTTGATCTGTTGGATTGGGTGGGTGGTGCTTATCAATAGAAGTTTGCGTGCATTCTTCTTGTACTACGGATTATAGTTTGTATTTGTTGCTGCCAATAGATCTGTAGGTGTTGCTGCAGGTGCATCTGCATGTAGCTGTAGCCGCCGGAGGCACCCAGTCAGGTTCAGTAAACCTGACTTCGGATCGGATTCTAGATGTTCGACTTGGAGAAGCTCACACGCAGATGGTTCGACTCGGACAATTGGTGGTTGTGCATCTTGATCAGCGCCAAAACGGCCTCCTCCACGGACGACAGCTGCAGCAGCGCCATTTTGCGGTCCTTCCTGTAAGACAACATTGAGAAACTTATTAGTGAAGGCAGTTCGAGGGCTTTAATTTTTTGCTCCATGCTCCCATTACTTACGGGAAAAATTTGAATGCTTTGACTTCGAAGCTGTTTGAGGTGAAGGCTTCTTTGATGTCATCCTCAGAGCAGGACGAGCTGAAGGGCGATAAAGAAGACGTTATTGGCAAGGTTTAAAATAAGTGTCATCGATTCAAGGGAGCCTGCTGTGCGGCTGGTTCATTGAAACCGCCTGGCAGGCGCTCCAAGGGGCCTTTGGCTGGGGGCTATTGGCTCACCATCCCTCAGCCGCCATACGAGTGCGATACAGCGGGGTGTGTCATATTTGGCAGACGAGGCTGCCACGCGGGGTGTCTGCTGCTCATAGCGGTAATTGTAATTGCCATGTCGTGCCCAACCTAGCCATCTCCCAGCATACACATCTACACTCACACTTTTTTTAGTTGGACGAATACTTACGGAATGTTACTTAAATGCAGTGTCGCCGAAGGCGGATATATGTTCTGGTAGTTCTTGCTGCCCGGTTTCTTGAAACGGTGCAGCGGATTCTGCGAGTAGTCACGCGTGAGTCCGGCGTCCGGCTGCCCCTCCTTGGGCAGCTGCACGGCCTGGTGTTTGCTGGCCATTACACGTATCGGCTTGCCCCATAAACGTAATTTATCAAGGTGAGACATGGCTGTGGAACAGAAAGTAACACGTTAAAATGGGTGGACGTGGGAAAAGTTGTTCGTTTGTTAGATGAGTCTGTACATGGGGATGGGAATGTGGATGCGGCTGGGCTGTGTGTCAATAAATGTATCTGTGGAAATGCAATTTATATGCTGCGCCACGAATAATAAAATAGTTTTTGCGCCTGAACCCCACAAAAAAACACGGAACCAAAAATCATTCCATAAAAACACAAAAAAATATTTATGATTACACCCAAAAAAGCTTAATTATCACTTCTTCCCTAACTTGATGGTTAAATTTCAATAACATATGAACAGACTTTTGTTTTTTTCTCTCAGTGTACTCAGTGATCCCAGCAGCCAGCCGTCGAAGTGGAAAAAAATCCGCAATAAATGCAGGCAAATATTTACATACTGAAATGTAACTGCAACTTTATCAATGTCGTCTGCCGTCGGTGATTTATGCAAGCTGAAATGCTTGTTTAGCCAAACAAAAGTTCGCAATCTTCGGGCTCCGTTCTGGCGCCTCCTCACTGATAGTTTTCAACGGCCCTGTTTCTCATATTCTCATTCTCGGCAATCATAACACCTGCGTCTCAGTCGAGGTGCATGTGCAACAAAGAGCCGTAATTTAGTACGATTCAATTTCCATTCCCAATGGAATCGATTTCAGTTTCGATTACGTTTTATTTAATTTCAGTTTCTGCCAAGTCATCCGACGGCTTAGGCCACGGCCACTGTCCAGCGAAAGTCTGACCTTTTTTTCAACTCTCATGTTGTGCATTACATTTATAAATTACAACACATTTTATCATTGCTTCTCTGTTTTATTGTGAAGCAATATGCTTACTCAGCCGTTTATTGTTTGCCTAATGGATTAAGTGATTTTCAAAAAACCAAAGGCGCAGGAATATAATAAATTGTAAAATAAAAGAACCGCCAGCAGTGACAAAGCCCGGTGCTGCTCATATGGCTTAAGCATCCTTTTTTCTGTATTCGTCGGTGAGTATGACAAACACTTGTTATAAAGATTAATGTGCAGGCGAGACACTTTTCGGAAAAGGGCCAACTTCGCATAAAGGGCTGCAGCTGCTCCTTAGCCCCAACTCAAAATTTCAAACTTTTAATTACGAAGCTAAGGCTTTGACTGCTGACCAGCAGCAACAAGAAATCATTATTAACTAACAACAAGAACAGAAGGTAACTTTGGGAAGGCTAAGTTCTAATACCCTAACCGTAAGTATATCGTTTGAAAACCACCAAATTTTACCAAGTTTGACGAACGGCAATGAATGCTTTTACATTGCACGAATAAATGCTTAGAATCATAAGGTCAGTATGGGAGATATAAGACAGCTATAGGATATAGTCATTTTGATAGAACTCTGGTTGAAAATGAAATAAAAACATATTTTACCGCTAAAACCAGCCAAAACATTTAATTTTACAAATTTGAGCGGACTGTGTCCAAAGTACAAAAACAAGCAGCAAGGTCCTCGAAACGGGGAACCCCAAAGAGTAAGCGAAATGACTTGCCGATGAGGCTGTAAGGGTTGAGCTTGTTTTATGCATGCAGTGCTGGGCTAAGACTTTTAAGCAGCATACACTTGGGACCAACTCCACTCAGAAAATTTTATTCCTGAAGCGGAGGGCGAGGAAGGTGAGGCAAATGTGGCTCAGGTGAACCCACAACGGGAGGCAAGCATGGGTTTACTACCCCCACCTGATAAACTCTAAGTTAGTTGTAACTTTCATGATTTGAACGATTAATGTCCAGCAATTCCTTGACTATGATCTACGGCCGCACAGGCCAGACACTTTATTATCTCTGGTTCGTAAACTATGCAAAACATCCTCTATCCCGGCGTTTTCTCGGCTCCGTAATTAATAGTGGCCCACAGAAGGCCGGGCGCCAAGTCATTCAAACAGTCACTTAGCATTGTCAACCCAAGTCGAAGGAAACTTTCCACAAACTCGACTTATATATTTCGTAGCACACGCACACATTGGATATGCGTAATCGACCATATTACAAATGGAAATAGAATGCGGTCAGCAAATGTGAGAGTGTGGAGTTTGTTTGTTTTTATTGCAAATGCCTTTATGCGTACGCTTATGCAAAATATTTTGTAGTAATTTGTAGGGCAAACAGGAAATATATTTGCGAACAAAAGAGGGGAAGTCGTCGGTCGACAGCTGAGAGTGCGCCAATAAATTCAGTTGTAACTGCGTATGTGCTTGCCCATGGTTGGCAATATGTTGCGCAACACTTAATCCCACCCACTCCCGTTACCGCCCAAAAAATGCTTCAGCATCCCTGGCAGCCATACACCTCAAACTGCCCACCAAGTGGACGCAGCGGAGAGTGGTAGTGGTGGGCAGCTTATTGTTTTCCATTGAGTGTTTTTGTCTATTCCTCACCTCACTACCGTGCTTCTGATTGTTGTCTCAGTTAGTTGTGCCGAAATGTTGGTTGTCCATTCCATTTGGTTCTCATCGCCTTGCCGGCCTGTCTGACCCGCCTAAATTTTCCCCCATTTTCCGTTGACTTCACTTGCTAAAGTTTTTTGTGTCTTTACTCTGTAATTCGTATGCTGAGTGTGCAATTGTAGCCGTATTTTGTATGCGGCCCCCGCCATAACGCACACCACACTACGAGACACTTTCGTATGCATGTTGTGAGTTGGGTGACCCTGGGCAGCTGCTGCTCACTGCTTCTTCTGCTCCTGCCGCTCCTTGTTCGGTAATCGTCTTTGTTTGTCGGTGTGAGTTTTGGGCAAAGTAACGTATGAATTTGTTAATATTTTATGAGTGCATAAGTGCGCACTCCCGCTCCAAACTATACTTCCCTTTTAGACTTGCTCTCGTTACCTGGTGTCCAGGTAGGTTGATACACTCGAGAAAAATATAGGAATAGGAACACGTCATGCGACATATAATCGTATATATAATTTGGTTTGAGCAATGCTCACGTTTGAAAGGAAAACAGATTCCGTAACTTTAATTGTGGTTCCCTATTTCGTGAGTCTATTTTTTAAATACGAAATGATCTGGACAGTTTTTCATAGTGTATATGAGTTAAATCGTAGGAAAAGGCAGTAGCGGACGTGTTTGCCATTTGGCAGCCCTTGCGGCACATTAGTAGTCTATATGCTGCTGCACACCCATTAATATTTACACATGCCCAGGGGCGTTGGTTCGCATTTCTGTGTTTGACTGGGGAAATGGGATAGGGATCGAGCGCGGAAGGGATATCGACTTCCTAGTTTTGCACAATAATTAGCTTGTTTGGTTAAACAGTTGACTGGCTTTTGTTTTGTGGGTTCATTTGCGTGAAAGCAGCACAATAGTTTTATCAATTGCAGCCGACGGCGGCATTTTGTGGTCCTCGATTTGCTGTCAATTTTTCGACGAATTCAATTAACCCATTATTACGTATACGCCACCGAAACGCATTCGGACAGTTGCTGTTGGTGATGCTCCTGCTTCCGGCAAATGCGCACAAAGGAAAATAACCCGAGGGTAAGCCATGCATTTTCAAGAGTACCGCCGCCATCTCCCCCAATCCACCACCCGCTGGTTTAACCCAATTAATAAAGTAGGAAAATCTCAAAGCCGGAATGCTATTGAGCATCCAGCAGAAGAATGCTAGGCTCACCGCAGGACGGAGCGGCACCGAATTCTGGAAATGTGCATGTTTACATAATTATAATTAAAAAATTAATTGAGTACAGCACAAAGCATATTTTTAACGAAGGGAAAAGCGCACCACGAATTTTGTGACAAGCTGGCGAAAATAGTTTGCGGTCGAGTGGCGACTGCAGATGTTTGGTCTGCGGGTTTGCTGATACCCTAGGGACATTACATATTTGTGCGCCCGTGTGCCTGCCCGCCCGCCATTCACTTATTTTTATTTTCTTTTAATTTAAATCAATAAACAGTTGTTGGCATTCATTATGCACTAGCTTACGCTTTTTCAGACGCGCAATTTGCTGGCAATTTCCGCATCGATCGCATATTTCACTTATTGAACAGATTAAATTTATTTAAACTTTATTTAAAACTGCAGCAATCGCTGCCTGTTTGAATGCCATGGAATCGTGACGGGAAATATAATTGATAAATTACATGTGCGAACGATTAACGCCCTGATGGCATTCAATATGATTTTCATCTTCATGTGCTTTCAACGTATGTAAGCAGCTAATAACATATGCTTTTAATACAAGGGGTTGTGGGTAATGGAGAGATGTGGTAAATTGTAGATGTGGGAATTGTGACACACAACAGGTAAACCTGTCTTCCAGTATGAACTGCAAAAACAATTAAAAAAATAGTTTTGTACCCGAGGTAGAACAGCAATTTTACTTACTATGCAAGCAAGTCTTAAAACCAGTTTTAAATCGTATATGCCCGGTACCAACTGCAGTTTTCTTATGAGCTTAAGCAAGGACAAACAAGCGGAAATATTCGGTCCGCTGTCGTTTTCAATTAAGAGCCTCCCTGCAGGGCCGCACCACTTTGACAGCTTTTGAGTTATTTTTTCAATGAATAAATAACATAAATGAAAGACAGCGCCGGACGAACCGCTGAGTGGGAACAATGAGAGCTGACCGGTGAAGAACAGAATGGTGGATTGGGAGGTGCTTCGTTGGATAGTTGGCGTGTTAAATGGAATAAAACCAAATCGAAATTGAAAAAGGTGTCGCTGTCAGCGCTGTCAACGCTTCGATCGCCTTGCCGCTGCCAATGCCGCCGCTCCTGTTTTTGTAATAAAGTGGAATTTGGCACGTCGGTTGGTTGCTCTTAACGCGTCGCAATGCGCGGCAATTTTCATTTCGTTTAATGCGTGCAGGGGGTCGAATTGGATGGGGATCCAAATGGGGAAGTCCTTGGCCGACGGCAAGGCGGACAGCCTGACAATGGCAAAGTGCACACAAATAAATGCAATAAAATGATTGGCATGTCCTGCCGAGCAGGAGGAGCCTTTGTTGGCTGGACAAGGGGGGAGAGCTGGATCTCGACCAGGTGTTTCTGCTGCCCAGGCGGGCTGGTAATAAAGCGCTTATAAAATTTCATTTATGTGCACGGCCAGATATCTCTTGCTTTTGGCTGTTGGCCCTGTTTCCGTCTCTTTTGCTTTAACAATTTATATTATTAATATATTTTGTTTGCTGCATTTGCAGCTGCACAGCCATCAACAACAACAACAGCATCATCAATGGTTACGGTTGCCAACGGAATGCGCCGTTTGGAATTTAATGTTGCCGGAATTTTCATTTTAAACAAGCTGCAAATAGCAGTTGCTCTTTTTCGCCCCGGCCCCATCTTGCGGATTGAGTCTCATTTTTCATTACTTTCATTTCACTGTGTTTTAATGTGGGTGTCAGAAGTAGGTGGTATGTATTCTCATGGATGAGTACGTGAAAGTGCGTCTGCTTGACTTACCCAAATAAGCTTGCTGGGGCTCCGCCATCTGTATGAGCGCCGAGTCCTTCTTGTTGTACAGAATCTTCACACGTTGCACATCGCCATATACACCTGTGAATGGGTAGAGAGCATAACAGTTAAGGATTATGAGTATATGTTAGAGAAACTACTGGGTACACAAACGTCGGCGCAAATTTCATGCCATTGTACTTAAAGTTATACGAGTGTCGCGGCACGAATGCTGAGCGGGCCAACTGAAACTGAAGTCTTTTGTAGCAGTTGCTAATTATTATTTTTACATTTTATGTTCTCATAGATAATACAATTAAGAAACGTGCAGTTTGAGTTTTATGTTAGAAAATCAATTCTAGAAAGAGTTACAGACTATACATATATTGGTTTCCAAGTGTAACTGGTCTTGCTCACCTTACTTGCGTGAATACCTTGAGCTTGGACCAGCCCAAAATAGTGAGCTTTTCTTCTACACGGCTGCTGCTTGAATTTTTGGACAGCTCGAAGCGCTTTATGAAGGCTGCGGCAAAAGTTTTGCACCCCACCAAAAAGCCATAACATATACACCAGGTATCCTTTGGCACTATCCTTTTCTCTATCAGCTTTTTTTGCCCACAACCCGCACTCGCATTATTGCCGCGAGCCACGCCGTTAGTATCATGTACGAAACTCATAACTGGCTCAATAACTTTTCTCTGCTATTTTTTACGAGCTTCCATTCGAACTCTACCTGCCTTGGCTTCCTTAGCTGCATTCGGTTTTAAGGCCACGGATTTTACAGCTGTCAGACAAGGTGTGCTGGTGTGCAACTTTTCGGCGGCGGCGAACGCGTTATTGAATTGTATTTTATGGCTTTACTTACGCCGCAAACTATGCAATATAAGGCGGACTGAGACCCAGCTGCAGGACTGCATTAAGACTGGCAGATGACTTTAAGGAAGCTGCTTGGGCTGGGTCTTTCCCCAGTCAGTGGACACTGCTTTGACAGCTGCCCGAGGGTCGGTCCATTGGCCCTGGGTGACATATTTTAGTCCCCTTTCCCAAGCCACCCCATGTGCAGCCAATCAGAGCAAATTTGAAGCAGGGCGCAAATTGCCATCAAGCATAAAAAATAGTTGCCGGTCGAGTTGGTGGCCAAAGGGCAATGGCGATGCCAATGGCAAAGGCGACCCCAAAGCAAACAATGTAAAGTGCAGCCCTGCCCAAGACAACAAATCGAATAATGCGGAAAGTAAATTTTCAACTACTTGCACGCACACCTGCACAAAAATGGGAAAGCACACTCCAAGAAAACCTTTTTAATAAGGGGATTATTTTTCTTACGTAAAAATGCAATTCATTTCTGTTCTAACTGGTTTCATTATGAACAAAAAATATGTTTGATCGTATGTTGTGGCTAATAATAAATATATATTTAAAATATCACAATTTGACTAAGCTCTGTGACATTTTGCTTTATTTTGCATTATTTGATATAAAATGTTTAACAAACATGTTTAACTATTTTTAAATTCCTTTGACTTTCTCTCAGTGCGAGAAGTTAGGAAGCAGTGTCGGCTATAAAAGTGAGGCCATGCCAGCTACTCGGAGCGTAGCGAAGCGAGCGCTGCGCTAACAAGTTACAAAAGTAGCAATGGAAATGCAGGTAGTAAACAGTGGGGCCCAAGGAGGAGTTCGCAGCACAGAGCACACAGTTCAACAGTTGGCAGTAAATCCATTTTATACAGACGACTGGCTACCTGACTGACTGACTGCCTGGGCTCCCCAGTTATCCGGCGGACTTGACTTATGCCAAACACCGAGCAATTTAGTTTCGTTTTTGCCAGGAATTCGGGGCAACAATTGCAGGCTAGACCATCAGCCGCATCAGCAGACTTCCATATCGACATCGACATCCATATCTGCAGGTATTGGCAGTGGAGCATATTGTATGCCAGGCTTGCGCTCTCCTCCTTTAGTCACCAGCATGGCTCGGCGTGCAACGGGGCGAATGAGCAGCATCTGCGAGCTGCCGGTTGCTATCCAAAGTGCTCCTGGCAGCTCTCAACCTTTATTCGTATTCCCAACTCTCACCGACCGGCAGACCGACTTGATAATAATTTATTATCGCCTGAATGTTGCTGCGGAAGTTTTTCGCTTTTTTGTGGTTTCGCGACACTAACATATGCAGACAGTGAAGCCGATTCCCCGATGGCCCATTAGTCGTGTGTTTGAGCATATCCTTTATGAAGAAATATGCGGCTGGCGGTGGCATATTAGCCTGGGAGTCTATAAAGTTGGAACGGCCTTCTAAATCCGTCTTTCCATCTCCATTATCGCCGTTGTCAAAAGACAAACATAAATTCGTATTCCAATTTATGGCTTCCATTTAATCACATTTCCTCAAACGCCTGTCACATTGCGTTTGGCTGCTAAAGCAATTTGTTGCGATTATGAAAAATTCATTGAAATTATTTGCACATTGGATATACTTTTTCCTGATTCGGGCACTTTATCAAATTGCATTTCTGCCACAACATGTAGCTCATAAAATTTTATGAAATTATTCGGCGCATATGTAGCAACAACAATCAACTCGCACACAAAGAGGGGAAATCACGCAGAAATACGGCGGATCTCTTAACGCATAAAAATTCAATTAAACACGTTTCGACAATATTTTCGGCAATGATATAAATTTTTATCACGCAATTACAATTACATAAGAGGATTACACGGCATATGTGCTAGTGTTTGGGTGTTAGGGCTTGCTTTCCAGACGATTTGCAGACTGATTAAGTTTTCTTTTATTGTTATGCAAAGGCAACCCATTCCCAGCTCCCGAATGTAGAACTCGAGAGTGGCGGGTTGGATAGATGGGTGGGTAGGTTGGTGACTCCGGTAGAGCAGTTTCCGACCGAGTGGGGCATGGAGTCGGTATTGAATGCTTGACAGCCTAAGCGGCATGTGTCAAGTGTCTAAAGAGCATGCCCCAGAGAGCCCCTGGACCCTTTCAATTGGGTCTACGCCTAGTCAGAGGCAGAGCGAACAAAGCGCTGTCAAAACTAATAAAATGCCTGTCTGGCTGGCAGCCAAAAGGGTTTTTAGCTTAACTTTTCCGAGCATTTGGCCTTTTTGTTGTGCCGCTTGTTGCTGTTTTTCGGCTAGATCAATCCCCGCGTTTGAAGTGCGTTGTTTTTCCACGGCTTCAGAGCTCCAGAGCTGAGCTTGCTACTTTTATTATTTGATATGCAAACAGGGAACCGCACACTCGGTTCCTCCTTCTGACCCTTTGAAGTGCTAAATCCGCCACCCTAACGTGGGCCGCAGCTCCTTTGGTCCCACCTCATGTTGAACCTTGTTGTTACGTGTCCTTGCGAGTTGCTATTAACATAACAAAAGCAGCCGTTTGCCACTTGCCGGTTAACGTTTGCCATTCGCTTGCCATTTACCAGCTACACTGATAAAAACCGTAGGTAGTTTGTGGCAACAGAGAATAACCATTTCAAAATAACGAATGAAATCGATTTAACTTGTGTAAAACTAGATATAGATATATAATTGCCATTGATAACGCTGATATACAAAAAAAATTTAAAGGTCTTTTCAATCTTTTTAAGCGTTTAATGTTCTAAAGCGAAAACCGTTTTTTCCCCAGTGCGTTGGTTTGTCGTACAGCTCCTAGCTCCTTTGAGTGTCGCTGGCGGTGCTTCTGTCTGTCCGCTGTCTGCTTAGAGCTACTTGGAAATTCAAAGGTTATTACATAAAATTTTAGCCTGCCATTTGGCTGATTGCCCGGCGAGACTCTGGCTCCGTCAATTACTCTCTAGCTGCTAAGGAAGCGGGTGAGTTTATCTTAATCTATTGGCACCCCAATAATAATACGCTTAACGTTTGACTTATCGACATCTCTCCATCTCGGCTGTGCAACGGGGCGTGTGGGTATCCAACTTTTCCACTTCTCTCTGGGCTGAGCTTCACGCAGCGTTTAATCAGCTATCTAAGCTTTATTACCAGTGGAGACTGCTGCCAATCCTGTAACTTTAGCTGCAGCAGCACTCTGCTAAGCGGTCTGCTGATCGGATTTTCCCGGCTCAGTGGCTCAAAGTTGCCCAAGAGGCGATGGCTCTGCGGTGCCCTGTGGTTAACGCTGCACAAATCTGGCAGCAAGAACAACGGCAGGCAACAAAAACAATTTTTCAGCAATTAATACGCTTGCCAACACTCTTGTTTACTTTGACCGATAAGCCTCGAACAGCTGACAGAATGGATGCAATTTGTAAATATAAATCAAAGGCAGCAGAGCTCAGCACCGCACAGCACACAAGGGTTAAGTTCCGGGCAAGCAAGCGGCTTAACTCCCTGTTGCCCAGCATTCTCCATGCGGTTGCGTTTGTTTCGCAGAAGTTTATATTTGGGCATTTAAACTCAAATTAAATGCATTTGCATGCAAACAAAGAGGAAGCCTGTGTGTGGCCGCAAACAAACCGTTTTGTGTCACCAGAGACAAAAGGGAGATACAGAGTGTTGTTGTTGCTGCCACACTGCCACACTGCCACACAAGCCCACACTGGCAAAAAAAAACTGCACCAGAGATTCGATCGCTAGGGAATGACATAGGGGACGCGGTAGTGTGGTATTGTGGCAACAAAATCCATTATGCTGCAATTATGCGCCACACTTACTAGCACGCTTGTAGAACCCGGCAAAAACTTACTCAATCGATGTGTTTTGGTAATTAAATCAAGTACATAATAGAGCAAGCCAAATGGAGAAATGCAGCGCAAGTGAAAAGCCAACTGGGAATCCCATAAAATAATAAAACACACACGGAGCCGGGCGAAGTTGGGAGAGCAATTCAAATAGCAAACCCCATTAACTTTACAAAGTTAGTTAAATTCATTTGGCAAACAAACGACAGACGACGAAAAACCAGCAAGGAGACAGGAGACAATCCTTTTTCCATTCGAGAAACCATCCAACGGACCGGCTAACCGAGCCAACGAGCTACGAAAAGTCACAAGTAAATTTTATTTCAATTGTAAGAGTCAGAAAAAACTACACAATGATAAGGTCTGTGTGTGGTATAAAAGGTGTATATAAAGGATAAACGGACGAAAAGAGAGGGAGGTGATAAAACCACACACGCGCACAGAGGAAATAGTTTAATTTTCTAGTCCTGGGACTAAGAAGCTTACTGTTTTAAATCTTTTAAAAAGGTTTTCAAGTTTATAAATATAATAATGTGCATTTTTACAATAGCTTAGAATATTTCTGGAGATGCTACATCAATAAACATTACATAATTATTGCTTGAATTCTGAAAACAGATGTATAATAAATTTAATTAATTTACATTTATTTTAACTCGCCTTTCAAGTTTTTCTGCACAAGACAGCGTAAACTTTTGTCTCTGTGTACGCACACTAAAGAAGAGCAGCAAAAGCAACAATGGACGACAGCAACAAGCGCAATGATAACTAAATAAATGGACATTTTTATAGCTATGCACTTCCGCACTCAATCTTTTGTGCTTCGAGTGTGTTAGTGGGTGAAGGCGGAGTGTGTGTGCGTTGCAGGATGAGCACATGGTAAAGCATGTGTTTTGTGCTACATTCTAGCTCTCAGCTCAAAGGCGCTCGCTCTCTCACCCTTTGCTCCTGGGTCCTGGGCCTTAACAATGGAAACCAGCCACGAGCACACTTAATTCATGTAATTTCACACACACACACACACCAACGCACACGACAACGGAGGAGCAACAGGATGCCCAAGTTGCTGGTGATTCCACTGCAAAACCGCTTCTGACTGCGTGCGGTTTTACTTGTTGCCAGTTGTTGCTGCTTTGTTTTTAATATATGTATGCACAAGTACGCAGGACGACGTCGAGTGTATTCTCATTCTCATTGTTTTACAATTTGTAAGCAGAACTTATGACAGGATAAATGGCAGAAGGACCAGGACCAGACTGGCTAGCCCAAGAACGAATCCCGTTCCCAATTCAAGCTGGCTGATGGATATGCCAGTCCTGCTTCTGGCAAAAGCTATTAAAAAGTCATTTGCTGCCAGCTTTAGTAGGTTTATTCCATTTGGCAATACAATAAATACTGCCGCTTGCACACGGAAAAAGTGCAAAGCAGCATCTCTCCATTTGTATGGGTTTTATAACCTGATCAGGTTGCTCTAAATTTATTTACCTTTCTCACATGGACTATAGGCTTTTGCCCCTGCTGGAATATGATCGCTTTAAGCTAGAAGTAGATTTCTTACCCAACCAGGTCTAGAAGTTTACTGCTTTCGGTTGATGGTTCAATTTTATATTTCCCACATGGTAGATGCAATAAATGTGCAAACTGCCAGACATCCGTTGCATATCCAAATTTAGGTGTTTCCTGTTTTTAGGGCTTTTTCAATATTTTAAACAGTTTGTGGCGCATTTTTATAAGCTATTGCTTTGTTAACCCACGCCTTCACACCCAGCGCCCACACAAACCGGGTTATAAATAATTCATGGCACTTTTGCTGATTGCAAGTAAATGGCGTAAATGCCAACCGGAAACGAGTATAAACGGAGAACACAAGAAGTTACACGGAGCAAAGGAAAAGTTGTTGGTCTCGCTCGATTCGTACAGTGTAAATTCAATGAATAATCAAGTAAACTACTTATAAATTGTTTAAGGAGTGTAAATTTATGTGGTACATATTGTGGCCGGGCAAAGCTAGACAGGACAATAGGTATTCGCTTTTACTTTAGTTGAGAGACAGTACAGGAGTCAGATAGGGATAGAGGCAGAGATCAACTACGAATGGAAATGTGCCCACTGCAGCTCTCCCACTAGCAGTTGACCCCTAGCTTGGCCCGGTCAACAAACAAATAAAATCGGAAGAACTGGCAATTAATAGAGTAATCGTTTGTGCAGACGTACCAAAGAGGGTAAAGAGAGCATCAGGCGTGACCATCTACAGAGAAAAAGAGAAAATAGAGTTTGTCTTCAGTTAGCGAGAGTTTTGTTTCAGGTGTGTTACAAATAATAAATAACAAAGTAAACTTCAAACAGAAAATAATTAAATAAAATCACAGAGCATGATGGATTTGGACATAATGTTGGGGGCGCAAGGAAATATATAGAGGATAGAGGGAAAGAAAAGGCAAGAGTATTGACACTCAGGTTCAAGGCCTATCAAAAGATACACTACACATATTTAAACGTATACGAGTACAAATTAATAATTTAAAACCCTTTTTGAAATAGGCGACAAAATGTTAATAAAATTTGGAAACCGAAATTGACGTACAGGGAAAGCAAACTAATTTTAGTTTTGAATAAGCATGAAGAGTCTTTAAAATGGGTGATTTAAGTAATTATAGCTTATTGTTCTCTTTATCATTTTTTCCGCTTTCATCATATATTAAAATATACCATATATTTGCTCAAGTGTTACAAATACGGACAAATGAGTTTTTCCTTACTTAAAAAAAATGAGCATCATTAAGGGACCGTGGAATCTAAAAACTTTATAATCTGAAAACAACACTTACCTCCTCATTTAAATTCGAGACAAGCAGAACATTCGAGTAGCCGCGCATGGCAGGAGCGGCTGTCTGCAGGGCGCCGCTGTTGGCCAGCGAGAAAGCGGCCAAGTTGGGCAGGGCGTTGCTGTAGCCGCCGGTCAGCGGAGTGCCCAGGCCCAAGGCAAAGGGCGGCAGAACACCCGGGGCGCCTAGGCCGTTGACTGCAAGAAAATTAAAAAAAAGTTAGCTATCTGTCAATTCCAAGAGTTTCCGATTAGTTGCATGCCACTTAAGCTACGAATCGATAGCAAGTGAAATGGCAAAAAGTCAGAAACAAGTTAAACTAAGTAGAATTCTATGTTGTATAGATGTGTGATTTTCAGTGATCCAAAAAAGGATTTTTTTATATCAGAAGGATAAAAAAAGACACTTTAGTACATATTAACAGGACAAGCAATATCAAAAAAAAATCCCAAAAACTTTATAAAGTAGGTAAATTGAAAACGAAAATTTTTAAATTGTTTGGTGATAGCAACATGAAGCATAGAAAAAACATAAAGGAAAAGTCGGGAAAACGTTCCGCTCGTGTTACCTATTTTATCACCTGTGAGAGAAGGCCGCTGCCGGGCGGCGATCAGTAGGAGATCGTTGGTGTTCATCAGTCCGCCGGCGGTGGGCATGAGGTCCACCCCCGGTTCACCCGGCGGCAGCGCGGGGTTTGTGAAGTCGCGCGACTTGTCGTTGTTGTACTTTACATTCAGCGCCGTCAGCTTGCTGTTGTCAATGCGCAGGGTGCAGCAGCCGTTGTATATATTCTGCCCGTCCAGGAGCGACTTGGCATGCTGGGCGGAGTTGGCGTCCGGATATTGGATGAGGGCCTGAAGAGCAACGGAGTTTATTAGCCACACGGATTGGAAAAACAAATGACTTAAAGCAAAAACCTTGAGTGCTCTTACCTGGAATGAGTTGTTCTTGGTAAAGGTAACGATCTTCAGCACCTTACCGTAGCGCTGGAAGATCTGGTGCAGAATGTCCAGGGAGACGGGGTACATCAGCGACTCCACGATCACGCGGAGCACCGTGTTGGGTCCGCCGGCGGAATTCGTGTTGTTGCCGGCTGCGTTCACAGCGCTCGAGTTATTCTGCAAGATGCCCACGGCACTGCTGTTGCTGTCGCCGGAGCTGTTGGCATTGTTGCTGGTCGCATTGGAAGCGGCGCAGAGGGGTAGGGGCGATCCGGCCGCCGGAGACTGGATGCGGTAGTCGCTCTGGACAACCGAGTTCTGGAAAGAAAAAAAATAGTGTTATTTACTATTTATCATCAATTAATCAAAGCAACAAATGTATACATTCACAAAATGTATATATATAACTTTTCAGAAACTATTATAAAACCATAATATCAAGAAACAATTCTTTCATATTAACACTCAGTTATTCTTGACTCTACAACGATATCTATGTCAATACATAAGAAATTTAAAATCCAACCCAAATAACAAATTATTTTTATAGCACATGAGCATGCTAATCGTTTGCCCGCCTGTCGGGCAGTCAAAAACTCAGCGGTATCCTCAGCTGTACGGCTCGCTAACATAAATCTCAATCAAAATCAATATTATCAAGTATCGTTATAATAAAAGGAAAGCAGGAGTTCGGAGGTAGGTGAGTCTGCCGGTGACGAGGATGCTGGGCGGATGCCAGATACTCGTACTCGTAGTAAGCAACAAAAACTTCTTGCGTGAAATATACACGTTCTGTCGGAAAATAATTTAATGATATTCGGAAGTAAATTTATTCCTATTCGTGTTGAATTTTGATTTCGAAAATCATAACATAAACACATTCGACCGCCCACCGTTACCGACCCACTTGCCCCGATTTCCGTTCATCCTGCCCATTTGCGACGCGTTTTTTGTACGTTTGTCAGCAACAGGAGAGGCCTGTGGAGGCAATCCACCCCAGGCGAGCTATTTGTGTCTGCGTTCGCCTAGATAAATTCCATACCATTGGAAACAAAGAGCCGGGCGACGTGATCCTTACCTTCGCCTGTCTGCTAGTAGTCCAAGTTTGTAAAAATAATAAAAATTGATTAGAATTGCCGAGTGCCGAGCTGCGTGGCTACACAGGGCGTATGTGGCATGAGTGCCCCATTATGTGCGGCTGCTTCATCTTCGATTGCCATGCTGGCTCCAGATGCCTGTGGGATGCCATCAGTGGCTGTCGCTGGGTTTCCTTTCCGCTGCCCGTAATTTGATACTTCACTTTTCCTGATTATTACGATGACGATGATTTTGATTGTGTTAAAATTGGAATGTAATTGTTGAGAAGCTTTTGCCAATCTATTACTCATTCCATCCTGCCATCTCTGGTGGGCTTGTTTAAACAGAAAACTTGCTTAATAATAACTAGCTGTCAAGTGGTCATTTGGCAGGCGTTTAGGCAATTTGATAATTGTGTATAAGCTTGCACTGACAACTCTAGTAACTAAAATTGTGAGGTGGACTTTATATTTATGGCATTGCTCACTGAGAGAAAAGTTTTCCAATATAGATGGTGATTTTGTTTTGGAATTTTAGTTTTACTTAACAAAAAAGGCCAAATAAGAAAAAATCTAGTGTAGAAATATAGTTCATATCATATAATAGCTTAATATATCAAAATAATGTGGCACTCATTTTTCCGAGTATATTTAAGGCAAAGTAGTATTCACATTTCGAAACTCTAAGCCAAACCAAATGTTGGGAGCACTTGCATGCATATTAGGCTAAGTCATTCTAATTATCCTGCAGGTCGCTTGGCGATGACCGGGAAAGGGATGGGGAAAATTTAGGGACCACAACCAGCAACGTCATTAAACAGAACAAATCGTTGTGTGTCCGGCTGGGTTTGTATTGGACTTTGCTTGTCGCGGTTTTGCCTGTTAATGAGTCAATTGTGCGTTCTCCTTCCCGATTGTTGTTGTGGGCTGATTAGATATGCAAACACCCACACCGCTCATCATAGGGAACGACCTCACCACATTGTTATAATTTTATATCGATGGGCTGGGTGACTGCTGCTCCCCTCCCGCCCTCTTCTAATGGATTTTGCCACATTTGATAAGCTAAAATGCTTTGATAAGCGAAACGTATTGACAGCTTGCTGATAAGCACATTTATCGACCGATGCGTGTCAGTGGAAAATCTGGACAAAAGTCACACATGTCCCACTCCTCGGACATTAAACGCAAGCGGTATGAAAACAGAAATCAGGAATCTTTACCCAAGATTTACCCGTAAACTTTTGGATTCTCAATGACTCTTTAGAAAACTAAAATAGCCAACTTTAAATTTCAGTACACCAAGCACAGTCTTTATATGGTAGAGACAAAAACTATTCCGTAACAGTTCTCAACAAACTCGTCAATTGTTGTATGATTTTAATGCGGTTTTTGCATAAGAAATAAACGCGGAAAATGGCTGACAAAAGGCAAAAGCTCAGGGCTGAAACCGCAGCTCTACAGGCGCAAAAAATATTGACTCTGCTTTCACTTAAGGTTTTGCATAAATATTTTTGTGTCATAGCGCTTTCGTGTGCTGTTCTTTTTTCTTGAGGGCAGGAAGTTTATTTTCGCTGCAATGTCACCCGGAGTACCTTGGCTTTTCGCCCTTATTCCCCGTTCTCCCTGACAGGCACACTTTAAACTGCATGGCGAGTCCTTTCGAGCAGGAGTTGGACTCAAGTGTCGTCGCCCCTTCTCTAGAAGCCGAAGCGGGAGCTTAAGTGTTCGGGCCAAGTTAGAAAGTAGCTGCTTGGCCACAGTCTTCGCCGGAGCCCCCTGCTTATTGCCTTTTTGGCGCTCTACCCACTGAAACTTTTTTGGGCAACTACTACTACCAGTTATGAACTTGTGTAGTTAAGTTTTAAAGCTGAGCTCGGGATTATGTTTTACTTTGCTGTGGGTCGTTTATCTGCTGCGTGGTTTTTACGGTCAAGCCATAGAGATACAGTTGCATAAAGTAAAGGGCAGGAGCAGCGGTTTCAGTGCCAACAAACTATATTTGTGTTATTTATGCAAAAGGCGCACAAAAACAGCAACCCCGCCAAGTGTGTTAAAAGCCTTTTGCGAAAATATTCCACAAACACGACCATTAAACCGAACGGCTTAAATAAATACGAGTTACGCAAAGTAGCAAAACCCACTGCCCAAAAAATAAAAGTAAATACGCTTGCGAAAACAAAGAAGGGAAAGGAGAAAGACATTTTCGAGCAGCCGTAATGCAAAACTAATCAATACAATCAAAATATTGACACAGCCGCTGGAAAAGTCAGTGCATACATAAAGTTGTCAGTTGCCAGCCGGTTTGGTTACTAGGGTTTTCTGGGCTGGCGACGGTGCCACCGCTGTTATCCTGCTGCTCTCAGCCCTCTACTCTTCGCTATTTGGATCTCACGTACTCCGAAACAATGTAATTTAAATCCATTTTCAACACGTCGCCAATCAAAATGGCAAAAAGCTTTAGCGCAGCACAAGTATAAACAAATATTCGCATCCGCATAACTCAAAGGATCAGGAGCAGAAGACACAGTCACATACGCGATGCGATGCTCTGCTTTGCTTCTGCTCCTGCTCCTCGGCGCTGTTGTGAAAACAATAAGATTAGCTTACTTTTGCTTTCGACGGCAACGAAGAGTGATGTGCGGGCGGTCGGTTCGGTAAAGTAAACGTGAAAATAAAATGGGAAAACAGAAAAACAGCAAAGAAAAACACAAGCCACGCAGCGCATAGAAAAATAAACATTGAGCAGATAGCTGATAGCATTCAACGGATAGCACCTCATATGTGAAGTTATTTGCCTGTGCGAAATCCTTTAACTGCAAAAGCCTGAGAGTTAGACAAATAGCGTGCCGAAAGAAAAGGCCCCATAATCTGGTTTACCCGCTTTTACCCGCTTTTCCCCCCTCGGCATTGACAGCCTGTCTGCAGGAGGCGCAAATTAAATAACACATTGAGGTCTGTGTCGCTGAGCCCGGTTCATATTATTAATACCAAATCAAATGTACGGCATTATCCCCGATGCGATGCCCTGTTATTTATAGACATGCTGGCAGGGCATCAGACATCACAAATAAGACTTTGCTAATCAGTTTGATCCTTTCTGTGACCTAATCGCTTAACATTTGTATTAGTTCTGTGCTGTGCCAGTCGTCGTTTCCCTTCCACGTGTCAAACGCGGTGTAAATTAAGCCCACTTCTTGTTCGCAGCTAATTTTCATGTGTGTACTATTAATTGACAATTGCTGTCCATCCCTGGCCTCCTTTTGTGTTTTTCTTGGGCGAGTCACCATTGTTTGGCTGGGCAGGAGGCGTCCGTAAAATGTGGCCCTCTCTGTAGTCGGCCATTTAATTTAATTACAAGGTAACCTTATCACTGAAGGGAAAAAGAGCACCTACCGACGCACCACACAACACATGCAGAAAGCGCTTGGGACATGCATTTGCATTTGCACTGCGAGAAAACATCTCTTGTAAAACAATCCAACAATTTGAGAGTGTTTAAATTCTAAACAAAAATTTTCAAAACGGGAAGGCTTTGTTCTGATTTCTCTGTTTTCATTGTGATTTAATTTAACTTGATTATAATTTTCAATTTTTAATTCGTTTTTTTGGTGAGTGTTGTCCTGCTGTTGCAGTTTGGAGCCTATTCAATGGGCTGCAGTTGACCGACAGTTGTCTCGACTCCATTGTCCTTTTCCCCTTGGGCAGATTTGATGTTTCGGAGGCGAGTGCCAATTAAGATGATTACCATAATTTGCGTTCACCGTTGAACGCGCGACTCCTGCTGAGGTGATTTGCGAGGTCGTAGCTATCTTCACCATGAATGCAGCGATTAATCAATTGTGCGCATCTAATGATGCCCGAATGGCAGCGGAGGAGCCCTGGCAAATGTTACACTGGAGATTAGACCAGGGACTGGCTTCCCCTAGTTGCGAAATTATATTTCAATCTAATTCTTTGTGGGCCGTGGGGCTGAAGCCATTTCCCCGAGTGGCTGTCAACCCTTTTCGGTCGTAAAAGAGGTCGGGCTCAACAATTAATTTATCAAAATTACTCAAAACAAAACTGGGCCACAGAGCCAACAGATGCGCCCCACAGCTACACAGACAAAACAATCACATGTCAAATTTGAAACCCACTAAACAATGCCAGTTGCGGACCTTTGGGGTTGGGTTTTTGGATAGCAGTGAAGCTGGGTGCCTGAGTCGCTCTTGGGTTTCTGTGGGCAGCTCGTTGCGGTCGTAACCGCGTGAACTTGCCAGTGCATTTATCTTCATTTCTGGTATCTTAGTCAAGGGTCGCCTCACCATAGCAGAGCAGATGTGGAAACGCTAAGACGCTAGAGTAAGACATCAACGAAAATAGTCACAGAAAACCAGAGCCAGAACCAGAAACAGAGCTCTCTGGATGAAGGAGGAGCGAAGCAAAGGTGAAAGGACATCCCAACGACATGACATATTAGAATCCCGTTACGCAGCAGCAACAGCAGCGTTGCCGGTTGACTGCCAAATTGCCAACATAAATGTCAGAAGGGCGGGGAAAGTTGGGTGGTATAGCTGAAAAGATGCTACGAGGTTTTTCATTTCTGTTGGTTGGTTTTTCCTCCTATTTGTTTTATTCTCTATACCATGCAATCACTCAGCCGTTGAAATCACACATGTGTGCGACTAGATGTCTTCTTTCCTGGGTGTGTGTGAGTGTGGGAGATGATTTGGAAATCCTGTATTGCTGATTTGCTGTTGCTACTTTCTTCGCAGCTTTTGCCTTCAGGTGCGTGTCGCCTCCTTTGCTGGGGTTAAAATCTCTGGGGGCCATGCAATGGATTTGTCTTTGCTCGGTGGTGACGAAATGGAATTTACCTTCTCTTTTCCCCGAGTTTAAAGCATAAAACCTTTGCCAACAGGAAATTGACGAAAATTCCAAATTTACGGAAATACCCAACTAACGAGGGAATTAAAAAAGAGTTCTCCTGCTATTGCACAAGTCCCGCACTTGACAGCAAACGTCTCCCGCTTTTTCTCGTGTGATTTCTTAAGTTTTGCTGCTGCTGGGTCTGGGCGACGACAACAATTCGCTAAGCATCTTATCTGAAGCTTGCCACATTGCAGCGGCAACAGCGGCAGCAACACAAATAGCAAATGACAGGCGGCGAAATATGATGCAAAAATAAAGGAACAGTCAACAGTGGCTGGGCCAGGGCGCCAAACAATCAACTGGATGCTGCACAGGTGGGTCGCCAGACACAGGACACAAAAGGAAGAGCAGCACTAGCGGCAGCAGCAGGAAAACCCAAGACAAGACATTCGCACAATGGACATGGCCAGAAGAAAGAAAGCTGAATGAAATGAGAAATTGTATAAATATGTTGGCAGCAGCAGCGCACACAAGATTAAACCTCTTCCACTCGCACAAGCTCACTCTCCTGCATTTTAAGAGATCTTCCACTAGAGCAAGAAAGCGGTGGCGGCGTTGACTTTTCCACTCGTCTGACTTGTCTCACGTTGTCTGCGGGCTAGCAACAAGGCCTTTTACCAGGATTAGTAGCTAACAAGAGAAATCTGCCCACGCACACAGAGATGGAGCTGGAGGTACACACACGATGGTGGGCCACAGCCAAAAGGTAATCAGTGAAATGTAACTATATTGTTTGGTCTAGCTGCGTTGGTGTTGCTGTTGGTGTTGCTGCTGTTGCCTCCATTGTTGCTGCGGTGTCACCTTAGTCATAGGACCGCCCCCTTGGTCTGATTCTGGTTTTTGGCCCTCGTGTTGCTTTAGCTGCTGCTGCAGCCCCTTAACCTTTTTCGTTGTTGTTTGTGTTGTTTCTGCTGTTGCCGTTGCGATCTCTTTTTAAGTAGTTTGCTTTTGGGCTCACCACCACCAAATCCTCCACCATCACCTGGTGCACAGCCAACCAGCCAGCAAAGGTGACAAGCCCGCTTTGGGTTCTGTCCTGGCTCGATTGTTGTTGTTCTTTCTGCCGTTGCCGTTGCGGTCGCCCACCCACCAAACTTCCATTTCCATTTAAGTAATCAAAATATGCTTTTGACTCCGAGTTAAGCAGCTGGCATCTAGGCGCCGTGTGCTGGTCTCCTCAGTCGTTTGTCTCCTTGGTATGCGTGCGGTTTCATTTGTATTTTTGCTCTCCCCCTCACTCATCACTACTCACTCTGAATTTCTCTGTGTGAGTTGTCCGCAAAACCCAAAAACTATGCGTTTTACTGCTTTTGTCAGACACGTGTGTGTCTGTGTGTGTGCGGCCATGTGTATTTATTTGAAAGCTTTTTAAACTTTGTCAGTGACTTTGTGGCTTACGAAATTAAAATTAGAAATTGGTTTAGAGCACCCACAAATACAGGCATGCTCGCAAAGGATGTTTGAGTTTCTGTGCATTTATGATGGGTCCAAATCTCTTGAGGAACTGGTTTAAATTCCCCAGAAAGTGTAATTAATCAGACGGTTTGCAAGGCCGACCCACATTTGCATATAAATCGCAGTTGCTTCATTTGTTTTCCCTGGCCTAAAACTTAATGAGCCCATTTATAACACTTAAGACGGGAAGCGATACCAACAACAGATATCGGGTTATGGAGGAATTAAAGCTATGAAAGATTATCTTTTCGATGATTGGATATTATAACTATGGCTTATTAAGTTACACAAGAAATGTAATATGTTTAATGTTATCTATTATGAATAAATTAAGTACTTTTTGTCGTCAGTGTCTAAACAAAAGCGTTATGGAAATTAGACTAACAGCTTAAATAGAAACTATTATCTTTATTATCTGTACTTACATTGTGACTCTGATCCGTTTTTAGCTCGCGATGGTTCGAGAACTGCACGTAGACCATGCGTCCGCGCATCTGGGGCGGATTGACTGTGTAGCAGGACACCATCGACGTGGCGGATATTTCGTCGGCCATTTCGATGAACGCCTGGTTCTTGCCCTTAAGCACCAGCACGTTTGTCACACGTCCGAACGGAATGCCCAGGGCAATCACATCCGACTCACCGGACTCGTTTGGAATGTTGCGCAAATGGATGACTTTGGAGGCCTTGGCTGCAACGGAAAAAGGGGAAAATAACGAACGTTGTTTAACCAATTGAATATTAAAAAGGTGACAATTCCTGCAGGTCTCTCTCTCTCTCTCTCTCTCTCTCTCTCTCTCTCTCTCTCTTCGAGCAACATTCGCGTCTCTTTTGGGGCCATCTCCGGCTCACTTAATGGCCAGCGCTGTCTGCACTTCCGCTTCCGCGCTTCACCTAATTTGTTTTTTTTTTGTGGGTTTATTTGTTGGTTGCCTTTGTTGCCGAAATAGACTAGGACGGAGTAAATAAAAACGTTGATAACATGGCCAAACGCTGCCACATTTGTATACACTTTGCACAGTTAAACCCGCTGCAGGGGGCAGAGAGTGGAGAGTGGCACCGCCATAAATTCATTCATTGCACACCTTCAACGGCTGTGAATAATCCAGCAGCAACACGGCGACAATGTCCGGCACACAGACAACGTTTGAGGCTTTTAGGCGCTCGTCGTCGTTTTTGCAGCTTCTCTGCTTTGCTGTTGCCTCTCCTCGCCGGTAACTGGTTTGTTATTTTTGCATAAATAAAGCAGCACCACCTACTGCCACTCCCACAAAAGTGGTGCTGCACAAATGGGATTTAGGCTGCCTTTGGCCTGGTAGAGTTTGCAGCCACATTTCGAGGATATCCCTGCAACAGCACTGAGCGAAAGGTCTATCGAAAAAACAATGTTTGGAAGTACAAGAAAACGTGGACTAAGTAATTTATTTTTATACCCTTGCAGAGGGTATTATAATTTCAGTCAGAAGTTTGCAACGCAGTGAAGGAGACATTTCCGACCCTATAAAGTATATATATTCTTGATCACCATCACTTGGAGAGTCAATTTGGTTCTAAAGCTATCTGCATGAAACTTTCCCAAAAGTTGTCTTCCTATTCCAGGTAATAAATAGTTCGGAACGAGCTGGATCGGACGACTATAGCATTTAGCATATAGAAAATAAAAGAAATTTGTTGTTTTTCTAATTTTACGGTTTAAATTTCGGCTAAGTCGGATGACTATATCATACAGCCATAGGAACGATTGAATAATTGAGCTGAAAATCATCATGTTTCAAAGAATATTACATTTTTGCAATAGCTCAAAGGGTATATAAACTTCGGCTTGCCAAAGCTTGCTTCCTTTCTTGCTATCATTACTTTTAAAGTCAAATAATTTCTCTTCAAACAATCGAGGTAATCTTTTATCAGTTTTCGATATAACTCTTTTGGCAAGTGCACTGCCCCAAAAGTGCCTTAAAATTTTATAAACAAAGGCAAACAAATTTGCCACTCTTTATGTGAAAATGCAGTTTCAGGGGGATAGGTGGTATGCTAGAATCTGTCTGGCGCTTAGTCAACACCTGTTAATGTGTTGGACTGTGCGCTTTTTATTTTCTGTGGCACCTGCAAGAGGAAAGTTGGCTGTTCATATGCAAATGAAATGCAGTCGCCTCCTTCCCTCTTCCGATTTTAACGCTCTGGTGTTTGCTAAACAAACCGACACATGGTCAGAGATAGACCACGCTGTACGTGTAGTTCCGCAAAACACTCCATATGTCGATTTAATTATACCCGAATTTAAAGTGAACTTTACTTGGAACTATAACAAGAAAATAAATAAAACAGCAAGCATGTTATTATTTTAAATAATTTAATATTCAAAACTTCTATAATTTGAAGTCATTAAAATGACTATACTTTGACTGCCCCAAAAAGTGAGCTACGATTTTAAGATTGAGATAAATTGATATTTCTGAACTCCCTTCCATAACTCATAATGTAAAAGGGTCATTATCCGGCCAATTCCCCATATTTAATCACAGCCCAGACGCTGGGGGTCAATGTTCCAATTTATTTCACAATGCTAGAAATCCGTTTCGCAGGACCTGAATCGGTTTTCACCCTAAGCCATTTTTTACGAACCTTTGCGCCTGCAAAAGGGAAAAGTCGAGCAACTTCGAGAGGCTCGAGTCCCGAGTTCCGAGTCCCGAGACTCGAAGTGCACTCTGTGAACTCTCTGCCCGCCGGTCAATGCTGAAAACAACTAATCGGAAATTACACTTTTTGATTAGTTCGAAACGGAAATGAAGTCGAAACGAAATTATGCAGTTGGGCCAGGACCTGTGCATCGTTATAGTTTGGTATTCAGTCGACCGAAGGGAGCTCAAAAATTTATTAAAAATCAATGGGTAACAGCAGGGCGATGAGATCTGCTCCATCACACTGCCGCCCCGCAACTCTCTATAAATAACAGCCGAAATCGGAAAAGACTTGGAAAACTGCTGTGAATCGAAACTAAATAAAAAGTGAGGACGGACGGACGGGCGCGCCGGAAATGTTCTGCACGAGACAAACAACAAATCAAGTGCCGTTGGCCGGCCAGTTACGGAAAAAAACGTCGACGGCAAAAATATGTAAAGGTATCTATCATGCATGATGCCGTTGTCCTGGACTGGCGAAATTTTTGGATTTTTCGACGTTTCAGCGACTGCAACTCAATTTGTTTTTTCTACTCTTTCTTTTGCCACATTTGTGCCAAAACGATGTAAACGCCGCTGCCTGATAGTGTGTAACTAGAAATGTCATTGCAATGAGCGAATCAACAAGCGTTGCAGCTGTTGAAGCCTTCGGCTTCTGCACTGGCTCCAACAAAGACGAGCGGAATAATTGAAAAGGAAGATGGTGCCGAGCGCTGACGAGAACCGGAAACACAGCCAAAAGCCCGGCAGCTACAACTTCTACTGGCGAAAAATTGCAGTTTGAATCATGCTTTGTTGGTTTGGGGATCGTGGCCTGCGGGCAGATTTGTTAGCAGTTATGGCATTGCTGCTTTTTAATTAACAGCGAGCCAACCAATATTTGCGCAGCAAACAATAAATGCAATTGGGGCAGACTTTAAATTAATCATGAGTTTAATAATTGCTGTTGCTGCTCGAGAGATTCAGCGGGGCACTGATACTCTGGGATAATTATGGTACAATGCTAAATCAACAAGACCCGAAATGCATTAACTGCCGTGGCTGAAAAAAGTGCAGCGATAAAATTTGCATTCGATAATGATGATGCTGGCGCTGCCCGTTGACTGTCAATGCTCCACAGACGATATGAATAGCAATCATTCGCTCGGCTGCGCGTTAAAATGAGCTGCAAGGACGTAGGGCCAAAGCTCAGCAGTATTAATGACCCTTACAAACACACTGTGCGAAAAACGGTGAAAGTGCCCTGGCCAGTCGTTTTCAATTAAGCGTACACACACACCCTTACCACTCACAATGAATTGCACGAAAAATATACATAAACTATTTATAGCTAATTGAAAAGTTTACAAACTGTAATTGAGTTCGGATGACGTTGGTTGGGAAGTAATGAATGGTCAGTATGTCCATCGAGGCGTATGTGTAATAATTTCCTCTACTCCCTGTTCGGTCATGATGCGCACCAAGTTAATTAATGACAATTTAAATTCATAAAGCAAACAGAAACCCCAAACGAAAAATGTAAATGAAAATGAATGGAAAAAGCGAGTCGAACAAAAGGAAAAGGCTTTCACAAGGGCCGGGGTACCTGGCGTTCAGGATAAAATAAATGCTGATTGTTAATAACAATTAAATTTATGCTTACATGGCGGGCGGCATTTAATGATTTAATGTGAGCGTGACGCCAGTGTTTGTCTCCAAGTTCCACCCCAAACTTGGCCAAGGGCGTGTCATCAGTCGAATATATAATTTGAATAAATACTCGCTCAGCTCACGCACACAGAGTCTTTAGAGCGCCTTTAATTATGCGACAGTAAATTAGATTTTTACAGGCTCACACATCATAAATTTTAGATTGTTGGGCAAACTTGTGTCCCTTACGTGTCTGTCGCTCTGACTCCTCTTTGTGTGCATAACGACTTAATGATATTTGCTCAGCCAGCAGGGCATTGCCTTAAATTTAAACATTTGCCCACGCATAATCAATCATGGCACGATTTTTTGGCAGCAAATAAAACTCATTGCCAGCAGCCAGTTGGCTTTAGAAAATCTGCAGAGCCCGCCCAACACGCAATTGAGCCTTGAAAAAAAATATTTTTTGCAGCTCGAGCCTGACACCAGCAAGAAATGTAATTCATTTAAAATTTGTAAGGAAAAAGAAGGGGCGGTGGCAAGGTCTTCTGTCAACTGAACGCAAATGCAAGGAGTCAACGTACGCAGTCAGCAGACCGAGCTATACGTCAGCGACGTTTTCAAGTTGTAATTGCATTTCAATTACGAAAATAGTTTTTTCCCATCTGCCCATCCTTGTCGCTAGCACATCCATACTGGTCTGGCCTGAGTTGAAGGGTGAAACTGCATTGGCATTTAGCCAACTGTAGGTTGCAGTTGAGTGAGCGGAGGTTTCCATGCATGTGTGCAGTCAAGTGGCTTTCAGTCAAACAGCCGACAGCCAAGAGCAGTCTGTGACTGTACGTAAAAAATATATTTTGTAAACTAAAATTTATAAGGATTATTATAAGATGTGGTTTCCCTCAGTGTATTACTTTATCTAGGAGCTGGTTAAAAGTCCATAAAGCATATCAATTGTTTAAGTTATGAGGAAACAGAGTAGCGAGGAGAAGTTTTGGTTTGTTGGCCCTGCCAAATTTTTTCCACATCATTTGTGCATTAAAACTACGTACACAGTAGCGGGAGGCTCGGCTTGCAACGGAGCGTATGCTTAATTAAATTGCACATACAAATATTATGCTGTTTCCCACAGTCACAAAGGCAGATAAGTCAAAAGTCAGGCCGACTCGTGCCTGAAAGTCGGATGCCACTAACCGCACTCACGTACAGTGCCTGTCATAAATAGCTGCACACAACGCAAGCCAACCAGCCAGCAAAGTCAAACCGGTTGACAATTGATATTTGCTTTTGGTCTGGCCGGAGTTTTTCACTCCTTTCAATGGGGTCTCAATATTGATACAGATGGCAGAGGAAACAAAAAAAATTATGACAGTATTATTTTATTGACTGCGAAAATATTTACACGCAACGCGTAGACCAGGAAACAGAGTCCTGGACGTGCGAATGAGCCAAGGCGGCACGCGCAGGATACCAGGGTACGAAGGACACGGACACGGACACTTGCCGGCTGCCAAACTGTCGTCTTATTGGTTATGGCCATAAAACCGTTTAAGTGTTTGACCAGACCACCAAAGGGATTGCTTACCAACTCGCTGCGCTGACAGCAGCACACTTGAGCTTTAAATTGATGGTAGTGACGAGCTGATTTAAGTCTTAAGGGATGACCGGTCATGCATATTCAAATTTTATATATTTTTTCAGCATATTTTCCCTACTGCCGCTGGCTGTCTGGACAGGGAATTAGCAATGCTAAGAACGGAAGAAAGAACACAGAGCACACGCAGTGGCAACAGCTGCGAAACTCTTTTTTCGACCGTAGCTCCTAGCTGCCATAGGTGGTGAGCTGACCATTAAGCCCCCAAAATCGGTCAATAAACAAACAAATGTTGGTGGACTATACAAACAGCGCGTAGGCGATGCATGTGTGAGGGCTGTAACAATAAACAACAAACTGAAACGGCGGGGTATGGCAACAACAAAAGCAAAACACGGTCTGGCCACGGTTGATGTTTCAGGCGGACACGCGACATGGCCACGCCATGGTCTACACACAAAAAAAACTGGCCAACGTTTTGCATAACGAGAACAGGCTAAAAGGGATGGTTGTTGAGCTTGTTTAAATAATAATAATGTAATGTGCTCAGACTCATTAGTTTTTTCTTAAAACAAATATATTTAATTCAAAAATATACAACTTTTAAACATTAGAAAATCAATACAAAATAAGGTCTTATTTGCAAATTGCAATTCTAGTAACGTATTATGTTGTTTAAGACTTTTTTAACAACTTCCTTGATCTATTTTTTTCCCTGTTGTTCTAGGAATTAACTGTTACCGCTCGACTCCCTGGGGTCTAGTATACTTGGCATAAAATATTCTTAATAATAAAAAATCAAATAAATCAAGCGAAACTATTTATTAGCCGACTAAAATTCGGAGTCTGAGTTTGGAAGGAAGACCATTGGCTTCATGTGTGTGTTGGCTTCGATCAACAACCACACGCCGAAATGCGAGACACTCACTTCAAGTGGGTGGACGTGGCACCGCCACCTCCATCCTACCTACTCCCACCTATGCGCTGCACATGCCAAAGTGTTTTTATTACATTTACGTGGAAAATTTGTTGCATGTCCTGCTAAGCTCGTGTACCGGAAACAAAAGCGTGAGTGTTTGCGAGTGCGAGTGCCACCATCAATGTATTGGTTTAGTGGCGCACGGATACGATTGAGCCGAGTGCGTGTGTTTATCTAAGGCTTGACCACAGAGGCACACAATGCTTATTGTTACTTTTTGGATTTCTGCCATTTACTTGTCTGGCCTTTGTTGTGCCCTCTGTCACTCTTGGACCCTCCGACATGTATTGGTGCTCGCAGTGTAATAAAAGTGTCCTTACACATTTATTTAACAATTCTTTTGTTATTAGAGAGTGGGCTTAAGTGGCGCCCACAAAAATGATTTCATTGGATTTCTAGCAGCGTCCCCTGTCTGTATCACCGGTACAGCGTACAGCTCCCTTAAAGCGCGTCTTTAATGGAGCAGGACAAAAAGCTGTGTGTGTTTGCACAAGAACTTTGCGTGGAAAATTAAAATGTCCGCAGGTCACAGGTGTCAAAAAGAGGGAGGAGAGGTGGGCGCCTGGGCTTCAAAATGCCGTTGGGTCAAAGTCGTCGTCTGTGGCATAGCCATCGAACAATGGCAGAGGCAGAAGGGTGAAAGACAAAGGCAAAGGCGAACCGCTATCACTAACTGCCTTTCTCTTTCCCTCTGTGCGTATGTGCGGGTGTCTGCTTGTTGCTTTTTAATTAATAGAAAAGTCCTTTGTAAAGTAATAAATAAATATTATGCTTCCGCTTTTGCGTACATTTTTTTCGCTTTCAGTCGATTGCCATTCACATGCGGCCGACCCTTTCGCAAACCCCATTTCGTCCCCTGCTATGACCGTTGACTGTCTGGCGGCTAATGCTCAAGCCCTTTCTTTGTGGTACACACCCAACCCACTCATCATCGGTGTGGCTGGCGGCGGCGAATGCTGGTAATTACGGCGAATTGCAAAAGCATTTTGAACAATCGCATGGATAGTATATTGACGCACAGCACCTGCATATGGCGTTAATTAAATTCGCCCAAACAAAAGCATCACAATCCCCCGTCAGAGCAGTCGATTACTTTTGAATTTCAGCGGAAATTGTTGCCTATTGATTTGTTTGCATTGGCAATCATTCTGTGGCTCACTGGATTTTTGTGGCCAGGTATTCAGCTTTCGGTTCAGCTTTCAGATCCAGTTTCACATTTGGCGGGGAGCCTGCGAACATGTCAAATATTTGCCTAATGTGTGGTTCATTCTGCTGGTTTCGCTTCAGTTTGGTTTTGTCGGGTTGGTGTGCGGTTTTTGATTAGCTTTATTACTTTGCGGCGTCATATGCAGGGTGGTTTTCATAGCGCCGGAGTCTAGTGCGAGTGAGCGTGTGTGTGTGTGTGTGTGGACTTGGGCGGCTAATTAATGTGTCGACACAGTGCGTGGCCAGTCAGCGACCGTCGTTTATAATGCAAACGAACGCGAACTATTTTTCCCGTAATAATTTTCAGGCAAAAAAGGGCCAGGCCAAATGTTTTTGCTGTTTACTTGTTTTCCATGCTAATTAGTAGGTTAATTGGCTATAGGCATCAAAGCGCGCTTGCGTTCAATTGAGGTACTCAAGTTCTCAGGCGACTTTGTGGCCAAGTTGAAGGCTTAAGCCTAATTCTGCACTGACAGAAACTAACAGCAAAGTTAAAAATTAAATAAAAAAAATAGCTGTGCATGATGATAATCCCTTTAACTTAAAGGATAATTGAGTTTATTTTACTTCGAGATCAGAAAAAGATGACATCGTCGTAACCCTGCAAAGTATGTTTTAAGTCTGTTAGCTGTTACCATTAATAATTTGGTAGTAGTTGGTAGTTGACTAGTTAGTAAAGCCACTTTTGTGTGGCGAGACTAAAATAAGATCTTTTCTTCCAGTGTTTAATACTGTCCCGGTGGGCGTGGTTAATTGGCAGACAAATGCAACTGGGCCCAAGACTATGGCTGCAAAATGCACTTAACTTAAGCGCCGCTCCGGGAACGACAGAGGAAAAGGTAGGACTTAAGCCAAGACAAAAGACAAAGCTCTGGTATATGCAAAGGTAAAGGTGGAGGCGGATAGAGACAGAGAGAGAGAGAGACAGACTGGGAGGATAAAAAGAGAAAGATGAAAGAGGAGGAACAGAAAACTTACCAATTCCACCGGCCAGCACGGTTCCCGGCTCCAGTTTGGCCTTCTTTGTGGCCAGGTCCTGATTGTTATTGTCGGAAGCGGGCGCCATGACTGCTGCTTGACTCAAAAGTTCGTCGCTTCCGCGCTGATTTACAGTAACACAGCCACCAGGCACAGGTGCAGTTGCGGATGCGGGAGCAGTTTCAGATTCAGATGTAGATGTAGGAGCAGATTCATATGCAGGAGCAGGTAGGCACAGGCAGTTGGTTAATACATTTTTTTTTTTGTAGTTTGTAGTTGATGCACAGGCGGCAGGGCAGGCACAGACAGAAATTGAAGATGGTTTATTTTCAGTAGTAGTGGTGTGTAGTTGTAGTAGATGAAGGTTATATATACGTATACAAGTACGGTACATAAAAAGAGAAAATAAAAGAGAGAGAGAGAACAATATAAATATTTGATATTTACGCAAGATAAATAAATTACAGCGATTCTTTAAACCCACTTCCGCCCACTTTGCGGAGCATTTGCATAGCTCTCAGATTTTGTTTAGATGCGGATCTCCAGTTTGGTTGATGTCAACAAGGGAAGTGGGTAAGTGGAAATTATTATGCCAAGCGGACTGCAGCTAATCATTATCCAGTGTTAGCTTAGCTATTTATTGACCAGAGCGACCAGAGCGTCCAGGGAGACCAGAGCGACCAGAGCTACCAGAGCGACCAGTTTCCGCAGCCACTCCATGGCTTCATCAAAAAAAATCCACTTGCTCCCATTTCGAAAAAACAGTAGTGCAAATAATTGCACAGCCCGGAGAAAATATTCATTTGAATTAGCCAGCTAAGCAGCTTGCGCATTGTGGCTCCTGTTTCTGCTTTCCGTTTGCTTTTTTCCTGCTTTATTGCAGCGCTAAACTCTAATTACAAAGCACATGAGTGTATTGTAATTACATGTGACACTTAATTACCACGCTCACACAAAAAGTCAAAGCCATGAGGCGAGTATGCACTAGCGAAAATATTGAACACTTTTGGTAAGCATGGGGATTTTTAACGGACTTGCACAATTATTGAAGTTAACTTATCGTATAATGTGTAGTTATTGTAGTCAAAAATAACTAGAGCCAGAAATTCTTATTTTGAGCCCTATGGCTATATATGGTATTTATTTTCCTGTTTTCTTGTAGTGTGCGAATCAGAATCGGAAGCAGGGAGCATCCCAGAGAGCATCGAGAGTAACCGAGTTAAGCCAAACATTAAATGTAATGCGCCCCATCAAAATAAAGCTGCTACAGCTTCAGCTACTGTTGATGCTGACTGTATTGTGCTAAGCAGGATGCGTATATGGGTGGGTGAGAGTGTGTTTGTTCAGTTTCTGGTGCTATGCATTAGCGGCAAGGACACAAAGTCAATAAACGGGAGCTGGAGAAGGGAGAGAGGGCCCAGAACTGAACTACTGCGGGAAAACACTCTGCACACCGCACAAATTGAAAAGGGTAATTTTGTGTAAAGTAGGCACCTTTATGACCCCCCTGCTAGCCAATGCCAACGCCAACGCCACCCACACCCACACCCATCTCCCATCATCAGCTATCAATGCTGACTACGCTTGAATTCGCCACTTGGCTTATCATGCTGCGCGCTTTTGCTTTGCTTTTGGCTTATTTGCTCTTTGCCTGCTGGCTTCTGCTTTTGTTGTGCTTTATTTGTTATGTGCTATTTGTTGCTGGGTTTTTATTTTTATGTGGCTGCACGTTTTATATACATCCATAGACGCACACATAAAGGAATTTGCTTAAATACAAAAACAACATACGGTAATAGGAATAATAAGAAAAGCCAAAACGAACACACTCACACGCGTGTGTGTGAGTTGGTTTGGCGTGCAAGAGACAAAGACAGCGGCGAAAACCGCAGAAGCACTTCACTTGATAATATCACACAAAAACAAGAAAGAAAGCAAACTTCGGCAAGCCGAAGTTCATATACCCTTGCAGCTATTGCATGAATTAAATACTTTTGAAAACATTTAAATTGTGATTTACTTCAGTATATACTGAAAAACAGTGAAGCTATGATGATTTGCAGCTCAATTATTAGATAGTTATTTTATATATTTTTATTAGTTCTATGGGAGCTATATGATATAGACGTCCGATTTTGATAAAATTTAAACCATAATTCTGAAATAATTAAACATTGCCATATGTCGAAGAACTAAACAAAAAATTAAAAAACAGAAAAGTTATAATTTTTTTTCATTTATTTCTCCGATTGTTCCTATGGGAGCTATATGATATAGTCGTCCGACTTTGATGAAATTTAAACCGTAAATCGAAAATATTTAACCATTACTAAATGTCGAAGAACTAAACAAAACATTAAAAAACAGAAAAGTTATAATTTTTTTTCATTTATTTTTCCGATTGTTCCTATGGGAGCTATATGCTATAGTCGTCCGATTTTGATGAAATTTAAATCGTAAATCGGAAATATTTAACCATTACTAAATGTCGAAGAACTAAACAAAAAATTAAAAAACAGCAAAGTTATAATTTTTTTTCCTTTATTTTTCCGATTGTTCCTATGGGAGCTATATGCTATAGTCGTCCGATCCGGCTCGTTCCGACTTATATACTACCTGCAATAGAAAGACAACTTTTGGGAAAGTTTCATGCAGATAGCTTTAAAACTGAGAGACTAGTTTGCATATAAACGGACGGACAGACGGACAGACGGACAGACGGACAGACGGACAGACGGACGGACAGACGGACATGGCTAGATCGACTCGCCTAGTGATGCTGATCAAGAATATATATACTTTATAGGGTCGGAGATGTCTCCTTCACTGCGTTGCAAACTTCTGACTGAAATTATAATACCCTCTGCAAGGGTATAAAAACGACGGGGGAAAAAAAACGAAATCGGAAGCTCACCGTCAGTCTGTGTGCGTGTTAGCCATTCTGTGTGTGTGTGTGGGCTGAGTAATGATATCAGCAGAAGTTACTCACTGCTGTTGTTGTGCATTTTGCTGAACATATGTTTTGTAGCATACTTTTCGATGACCAAAAAAGCAGTAGAATACTTTTTTGGGTCTTCTTTTCTGCAGCCTTTGTTAGAATAATTCATATTGGTCTTTTTTTCGGGCTAGTGGGTAATTAAATTTTAAGTGCCCTTCCGCTCACCACCTCCGCAGCCACCCAAAAAGTTGCCAACTATCTGCGCTTACTTAGTACGAGTCTCTAATGCATTCGTTATGGCACATTAACGCTCCCCAAGTGCCGGCTGCCTGGCATGCTACAGGGATTTGCCGACTCTCCACGGGATATATCCTTGCCAGCGTGAGAGTGTGTGCGCTAGTGTGCATTACACGGTTCAGAAAGTCGGGCTAATGCCCTCCTCTGCCGCTGGGGTTCGGACTGTGCGACGATTCCTTTTTGCCAAGCTGACCGGAAATGTTATTTTAATATGCTTTCTAAAAAGTATGCTAAATATTTGATTAGCAGCTGTATGTGTGCACCCTTTCCTCTCTGTGTGTGCGAGTGTGCGTGGCACATATGGCCAGGACGATAAGCGGCTGTCCACTTTCCTGGAGGGAGCAGAGGCAGTGGCAGAGGCAGGCGCAGCAGCAGGAACCCAAGTGGACCGTTTCATTGTTGTCTCGTCTCTGTGCCATTTTAATGAATTTTCCCAGCGCCATTGCCTCCGCCCCCTATACTCTTCTGTGTTCATAAGCAACGCCCCATTGCCGGAGGGCGTGGGCAGTTTTCTGGGCACTCACTGATTTCTATGATGACATGTGCCATTTCAGGCCCTCCCTGCCTCTCTTTCAGCGTGTTTCTTTTGCTTCCGCCTTTGTTGCCGGGTAACTGGGTCAGCGCGCAATTGTTGCCTCTGAGGGTTGCTGTCTTCATCCACCACCCACACACCACTCACCGCCCGCCGCCCTTGCCGTTCTGTTGTTGTTGTTGTTGTCCGAAGCAGCAGTGGAAAGATAATCACGCATATGCCTAACGGTTAAGTTTTTGAAGTGCGCCCCGCTGACGAACACCAAGAAGCGAGCACGAGACGGATGTAAAGGGTGTCAGCGTCATCAGAGGCTAGCATAAACCCAACATTCCCTTTTCCATTATTGTTTCTGTAATGACCCATGCATTAACCGAAAAAAGGTCTAACTTAAAAAATCAAAACACTTTTGTCGTTGTCATTGGACTCCAGTTTTAGTCTTTTACAATAATAATTTTATGATTTGTTGTAATATAACCTTGATAATTAGTTAAAACATAAACCCCGATTAAGATGTTTTTTTCCCCAAGTGTAATTTCATATTTGTTAATCCCTTGCATAGGTCTTGCTTTGCTCTTTGGGGCAGCTATTTCGATTTTCTATTTGGAGACGCTTTAAAAGGGAGCAAAGCTAGAAAACTGAGGACAGATCATGTGTAATTGAGAAAAAGGCAAATGATATGCACACCATGGGATTATCCAGTCAAAAAGGGTCTTTGAGTATTACTACTGCTTCCTTGGCGAAAGAAGAGAAAGGCTTAGTGGGCTTAGAGTTGCCCAGACACGAGAAAATAAAATAGCCCAAATTAGAAGGCAGTCCTTCTTACATAATGAGCACTTCTTCATGTATATATTCATGACATGTGATTTGGCCTACTCTATCATAATTTGATTTGGCCGCAAAATAGGCACCAAGTGGGTGATTCAGCAGCCAGTCGCCTTAAATTTTATTTAATCATGAACCCAGTTGATAATAACTCTGCACTCAGTTGTGTGGGTGGACAAGAAGAGGAATGAGTTTTGGAGAGACAATATCAACGCCCTCATATATTGCATGGCCTCAGTGTTGTGTTCTCCTCTCTCTTTGTTATAAATTTATGACCACGGCATATGAATATTAAAATCGAATATGTTGCTGTCGATTAAAAGCTTTATGTTTTGTGTCCCTGTCTGTAGCGCACAATTTGGGTGAAAATAGTAGCAGTGCCACTATAATTTAATTTTATAGAATTATTAGTTAAGGTAATGAATAAACTAACTTTTGCAAGCATAAACTTTTAAATAACTATTAATTGAACTAATCAACAAATGGAAACAAATTGAAACGGTTGAATGCTCTTCGACGCAATCGAATGTAAAAT